AATAAGATAAGTCACTTGTAACAAAAGTCATGATGTCATCGTTGAGAAGATTCTGAATGTGTTCTAGAATTGTTATTTGATGAATTGTGTCCTTCCTCTACTGAGAAAGGTTGTTCGTCGTCATCATCACTAATTGTCAAGTCATCCATTGCTCTAGTTGGATTTAAATCTGATGACTGAATCTTGTCGTATTTTACGTTCGATGCTGTTTGATATCGATGCCATTTATTTTGATCATGATACCATACAGACTGATCTAACTGAACAGCAAATAATTCTGGTCCTTGAAAACTTATTGTTTTGTAATATTTAGCTCCTGCCAAACCTTGTCCATGTCGATTACATTCAATTTTCAAATCGATCCATGTGCGTTCAATACCAGTAGCTGTCTTGGGTGAAAAATCCTTTTTTGCTATATATGAAAATGTACATGTGTCCATTGTAGCAAATAAAATTTAAAAGAGAAAGTCAAAGTTAAAACTACTTATTTGCACGATGAGATGGAAAGTAAATAATAGTAGAACTATTGTCGTGATCGTTCTATTTCTTATTTAATCGAAGGATTGTACTTTTTTCTTTCCTTTTATATGTTGTTGTGGCATGAACGGTAAAAGATGGAAAAAACCAAGTCATATGGTTTGATTGGAAAAAGCCAAAAAAGTGACATGTAATGGGGTTTCGAGTACGAGTTTATGCTGAAGAACAAAAATTACCTCATTTTGTTCACCGTATAATCTGAGTCTCTAATTCTGTTACAGTCTCTCTCTTTTTTCTTGATTGTCGAAGTTTTTGTTTCCACAGTTTATTAAATAATAGCAAAATGTGAATCTGCATGCGATCAAAGCAAAACAGATATGACATTTTTTTCATTGGGAAATATAATTAACTAAAACATTAAACCTTTGTGTTGGCATCCGGTGAGACAGAACAGCAAAACTAAGTTGTTCTCAATATTTTTCTTCTACCTAAATAGTAGAAAATGAGATTGTTATAATTCATAAATATAAATTTATAATAGGCTGATGAAAGTTGAATGAGAAAATAGAAGCATCAATTATTACCAATTGGTAATAATCTTTTTACGTCCAAATTAGTGAGCATCAAATTGAAGAAATATAAAAAATGTAAAACTGTCAAAGAGCGCACTCTATGTAAATATGAAGACTTTTTTCATTTAGAATATACTGCTGCCCGCATTAGTACAATCGAAAATTCAGCAGCTTATGAAAGGCAAGAGGAGTTAAGCGAATCTCTTTAGTCAAAACTATAAATATAGACGTATCTAAAGGATTGGCCAGAATTACTGCAACATTCGTTTCAGTAATTCGGATCCACCCTTTATTACCAACATTTTACATTTAAAGCTAGGTTAAAGACTACTTGTCGTCCGATGCTGAAACTGAAACCAACATTTCACAGAATGTCTGAGATTCATTTCGAGCAGGCTTCCGCTAGTCTGAATGATGATAATTACAGAAGAAATTTCGGATCGTCCCCGTCTTGTACATGTGGGGCAATACAAAAGAGGGCTATTTATAATATATGAATACCTACTACCACCCCAACATCCCGAAATTAAAATGTGAAATAGCCAATCCATAGAGCTCGTCGAGTTGAGTATACTAACAGTCAGAACAGTCATTAATAGCTGAGCTTTTTAGCCATTTTTACAAATAAGCACCCACTAATACATGACCAAGTTGATCCACATGGCTTTCCGATCCTATTGGTACGGTTTTCGATTGAAGAAACAGACTTAGTAGTTTTTACAAATAAATTTTAAAACAGTTATAAAAAGGGGGTTATTCAATAATAAGAGAATTTCATAAGCTTCCTGAGGAAGCTTATGAAATTCTCTATAAAACCACTACTTTGCACTTTTACAAAAGTTATTTATTACACTTTTCATTCGATCTGACTATCTAAATTGTGTCCTTCTGTAAATGGAACACATGAAACTCAATTGGTAAGGATCAACTTTCATGATAATTTTAAGGTAGACGCAACTCTCTGTCCTCCTTGCAGCAAAATTTTGTTTAGGTTTTTCACACCATTGAAGAAGTTTTGGATTTTCGATTCCAAATAGTGGGCGGACGATTTTGGATGCAGATCTACAATTCTCGACAAGTCCCAGATTTCCAGCTCTTATGGTTTGGGAGCTAGAGATGTTCTCCGCAGGTCATGTTATCTCCAAATCTGGAGATTTGGAATCTCAAAAACACTCGAGACACAGGTGATCAGCTATGCTGATCATCATGGGTAAGGGTGATTTATTTTCATCTTGAGATCGAAGGAACTTCATCTGACCCGTTTTTTGCCTGTAGCCATGTAAAGGAGATTTATGGAAATCTGATGGATCTTTAGTGAATCACAGGCAAGTTTTTCGTCATGGTCTATAACCGTTGACTAATGCTGGACATTTTCTGAAGATTACAGTCATTTTTGAATTTTGAATTTGAAATTTACAGGGTACAGGCAAAAAACGGGTCAGGTGAAGTTCCTTCGATCTGAAGATGAAAATAAATAATGCCATGTAACACATTAGGTATTAATATGTTATAACGAGTTAGACAATATGCAAAACGAAAATACATGGTTTTCGGGTAAAGTACATATTTCCATAAAGTTCTGAGACTACCAATCGATTCTTTTCGAAAAGTTGGGCTGGAAACAATTGCTTCAGCTATATCAGACATATACGTTAGTGGCTTGATCAAGTCAGTTGCGTGTCCTAAGTCTCGAGACTTAGGACATCAAGTCCCACGTATAGCGTTACAACGCCTAAACAGTTAACGCATTGTAATGTCATAAAATTTTTAACATTATAATGTGTTAGATGTCATAGCGGTATGATACATTAACCCATAACGCATTGCAACGGGTTACGCACCTTCTAACTCATTGTAAGGCTATAGAAGTTTCTAACACGTTTCAATAAAATAAATGTGCAGCCTTATCCAAGCAAACATCACCTATGGGAAAATCTAGATACATTTTGTTTGTAATTGGGCGATGCACGACTAGTTGCCATCTAGATTACTAGTTGGAACAGGGACTTTTAACTAGATGCGTCGGCGTGTATAACTAGCAACAGTTAAATCGATCGATTATCGGGCGAAGAAAGCATCTTAATGGAAACAACACCATTTTTTTGGGTTTTTTTGAGTCATTTAACTTGTCATCCCTTTTTTTGCTTAAAAGGTGATACTTTTAAAGTAAAAATTTGAAATCCTACATAATCTACAAATAAGAAGAATGAAGATTACATTTCTGAAGATTACAGTCATTTTTGAATTTTGAATTTGAAATTCACAGGGTACAGGCAAAAAACGGGTCAGGTGAAGTTCCTTCGATCTGAAGATGAAAATAAATAATTCCATGATGACCAGCATAGTCAGTTATCTGCGATTGTGTTCTGGCAACATATATGCGAGGTCTTTTGAAGATTTCTGTTGAATATTCAGAGAATCCCTAGAAAACCTTTTGAAGAAATACTGAGATATGAAGCTAAAATAAAAGACTTTAGTCATAGACTGATTGTAACACACTAATTAACATATAATCAAAGTTGTATTGAGACCTTTATAGGATCTCCTAAGGACGTTCAGAAGTCCTTTTTGATTAACTTATGTTTCACTTAAAATCTTATTGCTGATCAAAAAGATTTCCGAATATTCTTTAAAAATCATGTCACAAAAAAAACACCCCCATAAAACTTCGATTATATGTCAATCAGATGCATTACAGTCGATTTATCATTAAAGCCTTTTATGCCAGCTTCAAATCTCAATATCTCTTCAAAAGGTTTTCTCGAGATCCTCTGAAGATCCAGCGGAACTCCTTGAAAGACCTCTTGCATATGCCCATTCGATTTGGCATTGTCGGTTACCTAAGAGTACATTATGCTTACTTAAGTGATTTTGATATTAAAAGTTATTTTGACTATTTTTATCTTCAGTAAGTTTAACTTTATAATTTTTAACGATTTTTTATTTTAATTTTTGAACAAACAGGAGGAGAGAGATTTCTCCCAATCATAGTTTTCTATAATGACACTCATAGATTATAAAAATATTTTAGGTTAGTAATTTACCAAATCAAAGATTTTTTGACGAAACATTGTAGAAAGCTCGGGAAGGTCTTAAATTGAAGTTGACACATATGGCTAGAGGCTGATAGAGCCCGACCTTTGGTATTGGGTCTAAATTTGTGATTAGAAAAACAGCTTTACCTTAAAAGAATTTAAATTAAAATTTTGCGCTATAAAACATGCTTTTTCGTGAATTATGGTATTACAACGCTATAAATTTATGACATTACAACGCAACAGACGTAGCTCGTTGTAAAACTTCAATCAAGTCGTTTTTGCTTCGCAGGCATATGTGATGTGGTAACCGAAAAGACTTGATTTCGATGAAATAATATCACAGAGTTTGTTGACACAAAGAAAATGATTAAGGCACATATTTGTTTATCAATATTTTGTCTTTAGAAATGCAGCAATGCATAGTGAATACAAATGATATTATCGAAGTATACTTTAAGTGTTGTTTGCATACATATATGCATAGGTTTTATTTGCTTTTTGATAATTCTCCTTGTTCTTCTTCCAAAACATATTTCATAATAACAGAACAGAAAAATGGGTTATATTCAAATATGTATTGTAATCTTTTTCTCTGTTCTTTGTCAACAAATGTTATGATATAATATTTCGTCGAAATAAACTTCATTTCGTGTACTCCATCGCGAAAAACATTAACGAAAAGTAACAATATTCACTAACTACGTGATTTTAAATTGAGAAAAAAATTATTTTTGATTATACAGGAGGATCATACTCCAAAGTTCAGTGGTCCGACCACGTCTGCTGTCATCAGATTTCCTTATTTATATTTTTTAATTTTTAGTTTTAGGTTATCACAGGGTATCCACGGAAATCACAAGATTCTGTTTCTTTTTTTGTGATATCCTGCTCTTTAGTAAATAAATCTTAATCTTAATCTTTAAAAGTGATCTAATATGCTCAAAAAAAGATAGTGATTATTCTGGCATATTATTTTGGGTGTTTACGTCACTTTTTTGGGTGTTAGTGAGTGTTCGTAACGGAAAAGCCCTAAAGAATCCTCTTTGAAATAAATTTTTTCGGTGTTTGTTTATTCACAAAGAACAGGTGTATCGACCGGTTATCTCGGATTTTAATTTGGGGATGTTAGTGAATGTTAGCGTATTTTAGTAGTACCCTCTAAAAACCCTCTATAGATCCCAACGATATGACCATCGGATTCCCCGTGTCTTTTCACTTAGAAATCGAAGCTTTTAGCTTCTTAACTTGAGATTTCTCTGAGTTATTCAAGGACGACCTGAAGGATTGTGTCATTCTTCAAAAAAATGTGATTTTCTCTGAAAGGAAGAAAAATAAAAGCAAAAGCTCACGTCA